GGGAAAGGGGAAAGGGGAAAGAAAAGAAAATTCTACCCGGTGGCAACACTATCATCAAGGCTGAAATGATCACTCAAAGAAACTGAAAAATCAGCATTGATCTCAATATTGTGAGCTGTTCCCATTGTAACTGGGGGCGGTCACCCTTTGCCCCAGGGGTGTTTTGGATTCTATACAGATGTATAGAATCCCACACACACAAGTCTGAAACATCTGGAGCAACAAAAGCTGACAACCCATTGTCTGGACAACTTGGGGCAGGGAAAACAGCTCTTGTTTCATTGATTATTTGCTCTCTCCTCTCCCACAGGTGGAGCTAGCTGTCCCAGTTGTGAACACTACAGCCCCGCCAACCCCTTTCCATCTGCAGGTGAACCTGAAGAAAATAGAGGTAGAACTGATTGTTCCAGTCCAGGTGCTCAGTGAGGACTCAATTGTCCATTGATATTGGAAGATGGTTATTGTGGCATAACACCAAAGCTTTGAAAGCTTTTTTGGACTGTAACTGATGTAGTAAACAAAGTAACTTATCCAAACTCTGCATAATACAGTATTCCCTTAGGTATGCAAGCATGTAATCCCAAACATACATACAGATGTGTACTCCACCCAGCAGAAATAATCTTCCCAACCAGTTAATTAATAATGAATGAAATTTATAAACTTAACAAGAAATGTCTCAATGTCATTTTGTAGCACCAATCCTTTATACATACTCCATCCATTATGATTTCATCCATTCTATTCATTTCAGATGCAAAAAGAACGTCAAGAAATTTGGGACCGGGATAATTTCTTGCATCGTGCCAAGCTATGGGGCATCAAACAGTCCCAGGGGTGTTTGGACAACTGGAACTTCTACTGTACACACAGGTCGGTAAGCCTCTGGGGAGGGGGGGAGTTAAACTGCAGTGTGTGGACAGGTTTGGGGAACTATAATTCCCAGAATCCTCCAGTCAGACTGGGAGGTTAGGGAAGTTGCAGCCCACAAGCATAATGGCTTCAAGCTCTGTTGAATATTGTTTTTTTGAGGGGCAAGGTTTGAGCTGAGTTGAGTAGCGATGTTAGAGTACTCGTAGTCTATGTTTCATCCTGGCAATGGCAGGTAGAGATGTAGTGGAAACACAGCTTGTAAAGTTAAAGCCTTTTGATTAACAGGTGTACTCCCATAATCTCCCACCCTCCTCAAGTACCCTCATGTTCTCTGAGTTTAGCTGCCATCCCCACAATAGCGATTCTGAATAGACATGAGTTAGAAGGAATTGCAAAGACGGTACAAGAATCCCAGGGATAGGAGAGGTTTCAAGAGGGGTCCTCTCCCACCTACGTGGGCCTTCTGTGCTTCCAAGGCCGGCCGGCCCATCTTTTGGTTGACAACAGGCAAATACCTTTTCATTCTTGTGGAATCCTGGCCACAGATTGGCTGCTCAAAAAAGGGCTTTTCCAGGGCAGTTATTGTGCTCAGTTTATTGATATGCTTTTAAGTTGTTTTTAATGCAGCCAATTTTTTAATAATGTAACATATTTGACAGTGTGATTTTTTAAAAGTTTTTTTTTAAGTTTTTTTTTAAAAAAAACCTCATCCTCTTTTTCAATTAATCTTGACATGAGCCACCTTCTGAGTCGCAGTTTTGGGAGAAGGCAGGATCTGAATCAATTTATTTTATTTCTTGTATCACATTTTAAAATTATCCACTAACAAAAATCCTCTGAGATGTATATGGTCTGTTAAAAATGCATTGGTGATCCGATATGACATCAGCACACCGCAGAGAGTGAAGGGAGCTGCCCTCCGCCCCATTGTCCGTCCTACAGCTTAAACTGGGAGAAGCGTCGTTGGGACCTTGCACGCATTGACTGGGAGAACCAACAGCTGCTCAAGCGTCTGGAAGGAAGGAAGTCGGAACTTGCCCAGGAACATTGGCAGCAAAACTGGCATAAGGAGCAGCTCCTCCGCCAGAGCATTGCCCGCTATCCCCGTGGCAAAGGAAGATGCCAGGTACACAAGGCCTTGGTTTGAATTAATGGTGCACAATTGGAAATGGAAAAGTGGTGGAGGGGTGTGTGAAGGAGACTTCAGCTACCATTTCCCTTTATTAACGCTGTTTTTGAAAAGGCTTTTGAAGAGTGGGAGGAAACTATATTTTTAATGGGAGGAAATCTGGGGTCCTGCCTTTCAGGGCTAGTCCTACCCATAGGCAAAACAAGGTGACTGGCTCAGGCATTAGATGCCACTGTGGGGAGCATGCAGGAGTGGTGGGGAGGTGTTTTTGTGGCCTGTGGTTCTATGTTGCTTGCTCTGCACCCCTTAACCTAGCCTGCTGCCCACAGAAATGATGGGGAAGTACATTTTGATTGCATGTCTGTTTGGTTTCTGCCTTAACTCAGTGGCTTGGAGCACACACACCCATGGAGCCAGTGGCTGGGCATTCAAATCCTCCCTGTGCTTCTTGGGAGAGAGGCCAGCAAACGTCATCCTGCCCATGTGTGGATTATGGGGTTATGTGTCCTCTCACCTGTGTTGCCTTGGGCAACCTTCAAAGTCCTAGAGTGCCACCAGAACGAGGGTCCAGTAGACCACTTCTAAATACGTTATACCTAGACAACACTGGGAAGGTTCCCACAAGTGGGAGTTAATTAGATGAGAATTCAATGAGTGTATGTGTATCACTTTGTCCTTCAGATCTCACAGTAGCATAACTTCAGTTGGTTTTGCAGTTCTTACGTTTTGGTGTGGGTACCTGTAACTTTCTTCTGAGCCCCTAAATGGCCAAACTGGAACAGGCTAAACAGGTTTTCTTTGAGGTGCAGTATGCCATTTGGGGTGATCCTTGCAATTGAATGCAAGGATGGAGTAGTTTGGGGGCAGGAAACCAAACAAGCAACCAATTCATCCCTATAAAGGGAAAGAAAAATAAATAAAAAATTATTTAAAAGTCCCTCTTCTGTGTCCCCTCCTATCTGCCCCTCTGTGGGGGAGCAAGAAAAAGCTGTGATTAAAAGAAATTATCCCTAAGTGGCATAGTACTGAACCAGCATGACATTCAACCATTTCAGCATTGAATTACAAGGTTTTTTTTTTGACTTCGCGGAAGTAGGAGGAAGCTTTCCATTTCCTAATAAATGGTTATATTCTGAAAGGCTTAAAGCAAATTGACAGGCAACTAAGTGATTTGGTTTGATCTCATCAATCACACATACTGGAAACAAATAAAAGTGGAGCAATTCCACCTAGGTAGGACTGGTAATATTGCGCCACATGGACCGATGATCTAACTCAGATTGAGACAGGTCCTGAAGGCCCCATTTGTGTTGAGGAGGGTCTCTGACCGTGTACTTTGTGTTTCCCAGGCAAACAAGGAGAGACCAAGGCAGTGGAGTGAAAGCAACAGCATTCCCACCTCAGCATCTGTCTCTTCACTCAACAGAACCCACCTGCCTTGTAAGCATAACAGTATGATAGGCAAGAGCTTCTGGGAGACTAAAAGCGAGTCCATCCCAGAAGGAGAGGCAACAACCTTCGCCTCTTCACCTCCCACTTTAAGGAAAAGAAAGACCCTCAAGCCATCAAGGGCCGTGGTTCCGCAGTCAAGCAAAGGCCCGTTGGTATCAGCCAGGATTGCACCTGGTGTTTCTCCCAATGCTGCTCATGGATCCCTGGTCAGGACAAACTGATCAGGAGAAGATGCTCTTAAACAGCTCCAAGAAGATACAGTGATGGTTGCCTCCATCCTTCACGTCTCCTTATGCTCAAGTGAGAACCTCAGAACCCATGAGACCAACCCGATCCTTGCATCACAGGACTCATAGAATAAAACAGAGCTCGCCTCATCAAAGAATACTGAGTTTTACTTGGCAGGACAGAGAGGATGCCTGAGCAACCCTCCGTGTGGACCTCAGTGTCTCTTAAGCTCCATAAATCCTCTCCTGGGCTCCAGAAGGAGGCAGTAGAAGACAGGAGGGCCTGGCGTGCTCTGGTCCATGGGGTCACGAAGAGTCGGACACGACTAAACGACTAAACACACACACACTAAACGACTAAACACACGGGCTCCAGAAGGAGGGTTGTCATAGCAGCCATCATCCTGTTTCCCCATAGTGAATTTCGAAAGAAGTCTGGGTGTCTCCTCTATTGAGTTTGACAAGAGTTCTGCATTCTCAGCCAAAGCACAGGGAAGCTGCTCTACCCCATCGTTTGCTGACAAAACACATCCCTTTGTCTCCAGATGGTTCTAGATTCATCTCCTCATGGAAGGACAAGATCATTTTGCTGCCTGAAGTGGAGGAGCTGGTGGTGCCCCCCCCCAACAAAAGTCTGCAGGGCTCAAGTTATTTTTGCACTTGTGACAGACAATCCGCGTGAGATCACACTTCTTTAAAAGATTATAGTTTGATCGGTTCAAACGATCATCTCTATGACAACATGGTATCATTACAGTTTTTATCCATGAAAGACAGTGGATGGCCTAGTCATACAGAACGATCATCTCTATGACAACATGGTATCATTGTTACAGTTTTTATCCGTGAAAGACAGTGGATGGCCTAGTCATACAGTGTCATCCTGTCACATCTTTCAGAACTGTTTATTTAATGCAGTATTTTGTTTCTCTTGCCTTTCTCCCCCAGCAGGGACTCAGATTTTAAATCTACCAGCAATTAAATATACAGTGATGCCTCGCTAGACAGTTACCCCACATGACAGTTTTTTCGCTAGACATTGGCTTTTTGCGATCGCTGTAGCGATTCGCAAAACAGTCATTCCTATGGGGGGATTTCGCTGGACAGTGTTTGGTCCCTGCTTCGCAAACCGAAACAGGAAGGACCAAAGGCATTCCAATGGGGAAATGCTTTTCGCTAGACAATGATTTCGCTAAACAGCGATTTCAGTGGAATGGATGATCATCATCTAGCAAGGCACCACTGTACCTCCAGCCAATCAAATTAGTGATTCACCTCATGGCCGTTAATTCCACACAGCTGTGTCCTTCTTGTCACGTAGGCAGCATACTGGTGACACTGAACCCCCTAAACTCTGGACAGCCTCTTTCATGGGTGTCTTGTAGATGTTAAATAGGAAGGTGATCAAACAGAGCCCTGAGAGACCCCACTGGCCCATGGCCAGGCATTGAACTGGTGTCTCCCATCATCGCCTTCTGGGTTCTTCAGGAAGGACCAAAGGCACTTCAACACAGGGCTGTCAAGTCCCATCCCTGGTAAGCAGCTCAGAAGGATGCCGTGGTTGATGGTACTGAGAGCTGCTGAGAGGTCCAGCAGAACCAACGAGGGAAAGTGTTGAGAAGAGAAAGTGGGGAGGCAGCTATATCTGTTCCCTTTAGTTCTCTGGAGTAATTAGGATGTAATAAATGTAATAAATATATATAATCAACTGTAGGGACAAGATGGTCACTGTATATTACACAAATCCTATCCCAGTTATGTGGGCTACCTGTTCATTCATCGGCTTGATATATAGGGTTGAGTTCCAGAGTCTGTCTGAACGAGCTCAGTCAAGCCCATTTCTTGCAGTCTTTAAATGTGGAATAAAGACATTTTAATTTTATGCTGGTGTTTAGATTTGGCAGTTGCTTCGCTGATGTACTTTGTTCTTATATACTTCTGGTGTTTCGTGATTTTTGTACAGAGCTTGGAAATAATTCATTTTTTCCAAGCAACTGACAATATGCTATGAATAAATGGAGTATGAGTATAATTAACAGCACTTTTTGAATGTTAAAACTATTAGTCATAGATATGTACACTCCCATTTGTAAAAAGTAAGGGCTGACAGACCTCCCAAAAATGGCTCCTTCATTTAACAAATTAGGCAAAGTTTCTTGGTAGAATAACTCTAAATGTGAATGTCCTGCTTAGGGGAAGGTCTGTGCAAATCATCCCAGCTTCCTTTCTCAATTTGAATCACAATTTAGTTTTGCTTCAAATAATAAAATGTTTAAAATATCTATAAAAACTTAATTATCTATGAGAACCTGCAGGTCAATAATTTCCAGTTGATTGATTCTCACATGGGGGTGCATGTATAAAAATGTACAAAGAGGCAGAAGAAAAATCTGCTGCTGCATGGCACATATAACTAGAAATATAATATAAGAATAATGAATCAAGATAAATTTGAAAGGATCTTTGAAGGGAGCCATTTTAAGCAACAAAAAGAACACTTCTGAGGAACTAATACTAAATGAATAGAGGTCCAAGAAGGAGCCCTTGTAAATCCTCTTGTTTATTTCAGAACTATGAATTTAACTAATGAGTCAGTTAATTTTCCTGCTTCTAATATTTGCTAAAGGTAAAGGTTCCCCTTGATAATTAAGTCCAGTTGTGTCTGATTCTAAGGGCCGGGGCCCATCCCTGTTTGTAAGCCGAAGAGCCAGCATTTGTCCGCAGACAAGTTCTGTGGTCACGTAGCCTACATGACTAGACACAAAACGCCATTACCTTCCTACTGAGGAATTCTAAGGGCCGGGGCCCATCCCTGTTTGTAAGCCGAAGAGCCAGCATTTGTCCTCAGACAGTTTCTGTGGTCACGTGGCCTACATAACTAGACACAAAACGCCATTACCTTCCTACTGAGGAAGGTACTTTTCATCTACTTGCATTTGCATGCTTTCAAACTGCCAGGTTGGCAGGAGCTGGGAGAAATGATGGGAGCTCACCTCGTCACGGCAGATGCATACTGTTGACAAGCCCAGTGGCTCAGTGGTTGAACCCGCAGTGCCACCCACGCCCCTTTCTAATATTTAGTACTAATTAATCAATTTTTAAAACTAACACTCCAAGCTCAGTTTTTGTTGTTGTTTTGTTTATTCTCCACACACACATGCTAAATTTATTGGAAGCTACCTTGAAAGAATAGTATTCCAACAGATGGCATCTGTATATAATTGAACAAGTAAATAAATATGTAATGAGCCTGCTGTTTTGATACTGATGTTATTTTGTTGCATTCACATCATAGTTCTATACAAACGTATTGAAAAGTCAATCCCACTGTGAGTCTTATTTCCAGATAACTGAGTGCAGAGCCGTCGCCTCTGTGTTTATGACCTATGACTAAAACAAACAAGCAAAAATTGAATAAAGAATATTTGTTTACATCTTGCATTGGCAGGCAGGCAGGAGGGCTGAAATAATGGTTCCTGTACTTATTGTCTCAATACACACATTTGTTTGAAAAATCCACATTGTGATCATAACAGCTTTTGACGTTTATGTGCTGGCAAGTCATTTCCAATTGATGGCAACCTTTCCAGGGCTTTCTAACTATCAAATGCTTAGAGGTCCCTCCTTCATCTGATGCTCTGGGATCATGAAGCTTGCGCAAGGCATCAGTCCCCCATATGGTCATCAGGAGCCAGGGTAAGCTCAAGGAGGCAGAGGCTAAATTAGAGCTTTCCAGCCCCTTGCTCTGCAACAAGACCCTCCAACCCACAGAGCTGTACCAGCTCAGTGAGGCCAATGAAAAACAGAGGAGGAGGGCAGAAAAAAAGTGTGCAACCTTTCAAGAATCAGGCAAGAGGTTAAGTTGGCAAAGGGGGTGTGGATCTGAAGCCCTTATTGCCTCTGCAGGATTCTGGATCTCACGACTGGGGAAAGCAGCAGACCAAAAATAGAGCCCCATCAG